CCCGCCCACACCCCACACGCCCTAGCTCGGCCTCACCACGACGCTCTGCTGCCTGCTTCCTCACACACGACCCCTGTTTCAACCCAACCATGACGATGGCCGGGTAAAGGGCCAACGCTATGACGTCGTATAATTACAGCTTGTAGACGCTGGGGAAAGAGCTGCGATGAGATGTACCAAAGAACCCTCGAAAGTAACTCAAAATAGGTCCATTTCAAACAGTCCTAGTTTGATTTGCAGGATTTGCATTTTCAGAAGGATTTCTATTCAATTCGACTGAATCAAAGGTTTAAACGTCACTGTTCAGTACTGAAGGCTGTTGCGTTCGAAGGCATGGTGGAGGGGTTGGGGGAGGGGGGAGGAGGTAGCGAGCGGTCCAGCATGGGACCGCACCGCCCCGCTCAGCTCGCTACTGGGCAGCCCCCCGTGGCGCCGAGTCGGTCGTGATGCTGCTGTTATCGGGCTATACGATACAGTGACCGGGCAGAACAACAGTGAGGTCAAACACAAAGCCGCACGGCCTCGGACGAGCCTCGGCACGGGCCAATCAGGATCTTCACCAGTGAAGCCAGGGGTGGGCCGGGCCGAGCTCCGTCCGCAAGGCTCTCGGAGAGCCTCTCAGTGGTCCGGCCCGGACCTTGCTACACCTATGAGAACAGAAAACTCGCGGCTGGAAAAGCAATCTCGTAATTTCAACTAAAATTCACGCGGGTGACTGATGACGTTCTGCTGTAAAGTGTAAAGCAGTTCGATGATTTTTATAAAACTGAATAAAACTACTACAGTAGAGCGATATGATTAAATCAAAAATAAGGCATTGCCAGTTTATCTGTCCAACAAAGGAATCTTCCCGGATCTTCCAGAAAAGTACGTCCGGTTTTTTTCTCTGATTCACTCGGCGAACTACGAGAGCGGGGCGCCTGCGAGACTCGGGGTAGGCCACCCCGCAGTACACGCATGCACGGCAGGCAAAATGTTGCCTACCCAACAGGCGCTGAGTGTTTGCAGTCAGAACTTGACGGTGTCGTACCGTCAAATCACGGACGTACTTACTGACCCCAAAAGAGTCCAACACTCCGACACTTTTCTGCCGTTTTACAAGGCAGCCTCAAGTTTTATATAGAGCGAGGGCGAAGTGCAGGTGCAGGTGTTCCGCAAACTCCGCGGTCCTTTGTTCTTTCATTACTGTCGCGGATAAATGTCTTCGGTTTAAACTTTGTGTGTAATTGAAGTGCAGAGAGCGTTATTTGGCTCCCAGCGAGCCGCGCCATCGCGGGCTTGGAGGCGTACTAGTAAAACGTGGCCCTCGGCGAGCAGTAGAGTTTGCGACCCCTGGCGTAGTGAACATGTGTGAAAAGAGGACAATTTTAAAAATATAAATCTTTGTGACAAAACAGGTAAGAGTTGGTGCGCTGACGAGTGGCGTGCGGTCAAAAGGGGTGTTGTGGCGTAGAGGGGCGTGGCGGGGCGTAGCGGGGCGTGGCGGGGCGTAGTGGGGCGTGGCGGGACGTGGCGGGGCGCGCGCGGTGAGGCCTGTCTCTCGTTGACTAGGGGGGGCGCGCTCACACCGACGAGGGTGCGCCCGGCACCGGCTGTGAGCGGACTAAAAGCGTGCTTATTCACTTGTGTGTTTGTATGCTCGCGAGTGGGGCGGCTGAAATGGGAGCACGCGGGGCACAGACTGGGCCGAGGGGAAGTCTACCATTTCAATTTGGATGGATGGATGGATGGGCTGAAATGGGAGCACGCGGGGCACAGACTGGGCCGAGGGGAAGTCTACCATTTCAATTCTGGTTTTGTGCGCGTGTATATATCGTTATTTTTATTTTAAAAAATAGCGTCATGGGGGGTGGTCTATGTAGGTCTCAAAGGCTACACTAAACGTGCACGCCACACGTTGATCCTTCCGCGACTGCAGCCGCGGTGGCAGAGGCAGCCGCGCGGGCAGACTACTAACAACTATATAGGCGGCCCTCGCGCCACGCCCACGCACTTGTTGAGCAGGACGCGGCGCGCAGACTTGTTGCGATGACTGCACTCGAGGGAGCTGGTGATGGTGAGAAACGCCGCGGAGTATCGCAGTGCGCGGTGTATCATCTTTGTCCATTTCTTCAAGACTTTAAATGTCTGATTTTTTTCCGGAAAAGTTTTATAATTCTGTCTGGAAATGATTCTATTTTTTTCAAATTTTATCGTATAGAATAGTTTCCAATATTTCTGGAAAATTTTCGGACTCTGCAATCCCTTGGTAGAACAGGCAACAGCAGGGTTGCCGTTTGACGTCTCTCGCCGGAATGTAAGGCGTTAAAACACGTTGTCACCTCCGCCCGATCCAGGAATGGGCATGCTGGCAGAGCG